TATGATGCGATCATGGCTTTCCTATACCGGCAAGGTCGTTGTTGAGACCTAACCAGGTGTCCAACCTCCAGCTCCTGATCCATTCCTACGCCCCTAGCCGCAGACACGGAACCAGATCCAAAGCCAAACGGAAATTGGCAAAAATCCAAGACACAAAGACAGGTTTTTGTATTTTTCCAGCTGTTTTTGTTATATTCGCATGTCCATAAATTATACACAGGTTATTCATCTCGTTATTGAACTTCCTACAATCAATTGTAAAGCGGTCAACTTTGCTTTTAGGTATCAGGCATGTGTCTGTGACTTTTATATCTGAAGTTATAAGGTAATTATTCCAAAGAGGGAAGAAATGCCCCCCCCCATGCAAGGGGCCCCTGGTTCACTCCATAGGGTTAAAGAACTCATGGTTAGGCTTAAGAAAGGCTAAGGAAAAAGGTTTGGTTGTATGTTTCAAGAAACAATAGCGGGGGTTTAGTAACTCATTGCGTTTTCTTCCAGTTTGAAATAATGTTGTTTTTAGTTTCTCATCACAGCTCCTTGCTTGATGTAGTACGGTTTGAGTATTAGAGGTAGTGTTGAAAACAAAACAATTGGTTTAAATTGTGGTGACAAAATTGTAGTCAAGATTGCAAAGAGGGTTAAATCAAAATAATAAAACTAAGTTTAAAAGGGGTTAAATTATGTTTAGTTTATAGTCAAGTGTAGGACTATGTTTACAGTTAAATTAGGTTAATTAAATTCTGAGATGATGACATAGGAAACTTCAAAACAACAAGGCATTGGGACCAGTCAGATCACAGATTCCATGAGGCAGTTGCCATTGAATCAAATATCCTCACTCCAGTCCCTGCCTTGTTTGGTTTTTAATGATCCCATAGACATACATTCTCAAACAAACTGATCATATTACATGAGTAGGAAAGTGAAAAACTAATTAAATTATTTAACTATGTACAAGATTAAAGGTCAAACACTTAATAATTATTTACATAATGTAATTTTTAATCAAAATACCTTACATTGGTAAATGGATTATTTTTTAATCAAAATACCTTACATTGGTAAATGGATTATTTTCAATTCTTATTTGTCATTTAGACCGTTTGTAATTCTGCAACCTAGTCGTGATATCCATTTCCTTTCAGAAGATCTCCGTTGCTCCTGAGTCCAACCTGCACGACTTTCCAAACCAACCATCCTGAGGTTGTTTAAACCGTGTGATTGGAAGTGTCGTACCAGGGCTGTATCGGTTTTTCGTCCCTGGAGAATGTTGTGTCTGTGTTAGTGTAGTCAGGTTCTTAGAGCATTACCTGTTTCTCCCACATACTGGTTTTTGCATTGTTTGCAGAAAATGAGATATACACAGTTGGTTGAAGAAAGGTTAAGACCCTTCTGTGCGAAGAACCTTACCTTATTTTGGTGGTTGGTGATCACACGAGGTCCCGTTGGTAGACTGGTCTTGGTTTTTAAGGGGGGAAGACGTGCTCTAACCAAAAGATCCTGTAGATTTAGGTTTTTCTTAAACGCAGAGATTAGTCTGTGTTTGGATGCAAGTTGTGTCCCTTCCATGAGTTCCTGGAAGTTTTTCTTAAGCTTGTGTTGTAGTCGTTTGCCGGTTGATGAATTAATTGAGACAATGAGGATAATTGGTGTTTCCGTAGAGGATGAGGTACGGTTCTGACTGACAAGAGGTTCAGTCAGAACTTCCTTGGTTGTGTCTCAAGAAGGAGCGAGAATATCCCCTGTCTCGTAAGGCACAGGACAGGATTTGTGTGGCTGTCCGTCTATCCGCCTCTCTAGTGCAAATCCTTTTGAATCTCAGGATTTGAGATCGTAGGATTCCCCTGAATGTATGTTTAGGATGGAAACTACTACAGTGTAGTAGTGCATGTGTCTGTATCCTTAAAATAGACTTTTACGTCCAACTTACCTGTTGTAGCAAAGTCTGGGCCTTTGAAAGTTGTAGTGTCCAAAAAATTAATTTCGGTTTGATGAAGGACTGGTTTTAGTTTAATGCAACTGTGGTGTTCGTTGACAGTCTTGACAAACAGTTCAAAGTCATTTTCATAGTGTGTCCAGACACCTCAAATATCGTCCAGGTAACGTAGATAGATCAATGGAAGTTTTTGGCACTTGCAAAACACTGAGTCCTCCCATTCTGCCATGTAAATATTGGCATATGCTGGAGAAAAGCGTTTCCCCATCGCTGTACCTTTGATTTGGACAAAATTTGTTTGTCCGGTCTCTGTGGATTGCGGTATCTTTTGAGGGTCTTTTCAACCGCTGCAATACCTTTTTCGTCGTCAATATTTTTGTACAGACTCTCGACGTCCATTGAGAAAAGAAAGCAGTGTTCCGTTAATGTAAGGGAACGAACTTTCTTCACAAAGTCATTTGTGTCCTTGACATAACTACAATGTCTGTTTGAGAGTGGGTTTAGAAAATGGTCAAGAAGTTCCGCTGACCCATAAGACTCACTGCCACAATCAGATATAATTGGTCTTCCGGGAGGAATCTTGTGGGGGATTGTCCAAGATTCCGGTGGTTTGTGGATCTTTGGGAGTAGATAGAAGTATCTCGGTCGTGGAGGCGATTGGCCCTTGAGATAAAGGAACTGAGATTGTGTGATGTGTTTAAAGCGTACCAGCTGTTCCAAAATTTCATGAACTTGAGTGGCGGTGTGTGGGTAAATCGGTTTGTCCAAAAGTTGGTAGTAAGTGGGGTCCTCTAATTGTCTCAAGGCCTCCAAAACATAATCCTTTCTGTCCAGGATTACCACTGCTGATCCTTTGTCCGCCGGTTTGAACACTACAGTTTTTAGATTAATTAATTCCTGTAGTTGTGAGGTTTCTCTTGCAGTCAAATTTGGTTTTTCGTTGAGTATTTGACAGGTGAGCAAGTCTTTTTTGTCTTTTTGGATTAATTACTGTAGAGACTTGGGAAGGTCGCTGTTTTTTGGTTCCCAAGTAGACTTAAGGTGTAAAGGGGCAGTCTTTTTGGGAGCCGAGGGACCAAAATGAGTGAGTAGTTTAAGGCATCTGTGCTATTGTTGAAGATATCCTGCCAATGATTTACGAATGTCCCGGTATTTGGTGGATGTGGGGATGAAGGAGAGTCCCCTGTCCAAGATTTGTAGGTGGCTTTTGGAGATATGTCGTGATGTTGATAAATTGACCACCGTATTATTGGGAGAGGGAGTTGTCAGGTGTTGTCGTGTGGGTTGGGGGCCAAGGCTAAAAAAGACTGCCAGTGATTCCACATGGCTGTGGCAGTGTCTGGTGTCCAGTGGATGTTGTCCCTTGCTGTGTGAAAAAGGGATCGAGGTAGGCTTGTGATGTAGCGGTCCGATTCCTTGATGGTACTGTTCCAGGTTTTGATGTTCCGTTGTGTTGTTGGTTGAAATTTTGTAGAGTAGTTAATCAGAGGAACAAATATGTCAGCAAATGGGAAGGTAATTTGCGCCGTGTTGATGAGACGTTTCAGTCTTTGTTCCATTAATGTAGGGTTGGTTATGTCACGGTCATTAATGCCAAACGATAAGACGACTGTTTGAGTGTCAATGGAAGTGCGGGTTTTTTGTCGTAGTAGATGTGTGGCATGTGCCATGTTTGCTCCAAGATAGCAATCCACTTGGATTCTTTTGTCTTGAATTAACAGCAGTCTGGCTAGGTTTGAGTCCCCTATAATCAAGATTGGTCTTGTGGGTGTCAATGACCAGTTGAGAGTTTTGTTACCCCCATGTTCATGTCGTTCGAACTTGGCACATTCTGTTTCGTAGATTAGATTGAGAAGTTCATCCAGATTTGTATCTGGATTGGTTGAATCCAGGTCCTGATCCAAATTATAGTGTGTCAGTGGAAGGTCTCGTGTAGGGGGTGAAATGTTAGGACTCTGGTCGATCGGGGGGTCAGCATTAAAGCAAGTGGTCCAGGTAAGAAAGCTTGGTTCAAATTGAGATGTGGTAGATGATGGACTTTGTGGGAGTGAGAAGACCGGGCTGCAGGGTGGAGGAGAATGTGGAATGTGCGTCGTAATCGAGGAGTAAGTACTGCTCATAGTTGTATTTTCTTTGGTGTAGGTTGTAGGTCCAGTCATTGGTGGTTGAGGAGTTATGTTAGCGATCATCTGAAGTGGTTCCATATGTGGTTCTTTACTTGCGAGGGAATGCAGAATCTGATTTGCCAATTTCCGTTTGGCTTTGGATCTGGTTCCGTGTCTGCGGCTAGGGGCGTAGGAATGGATCAGGAGCTGGAGGTTGGACACCTGGTTAGGTCTCAACAACGACCTTGCCGGTATAGGAAAGCCATGATCGCATCATACTGTAATCCTCCTCCAAAAAGCAGAGAAGGATGTGGGAAAACCTGTCTTCGGATACTTATGGTAAGTAAATTAATATAGTTATTATTTATAGAACCAGGGTAGGAATGGATCAGAGACTTGGAAGTTGGACACTGGTTTAGGTCTCAACAACAACCTTGCCGGGTTAGGCGGGCTCCGCTCCCATTGCTCCTCTTAAACTCTTCATCAGAGCAGAAAGGGGCATGGAAAATCCTGACCGTGGATTCTAATCAATTATATTGTATTAGTGATCAGAAGTCTGCAAAGAAGATCTGTCGAACCAGATAGATGGATTTCGGCAGAGGAGCAGGACACAGTGAATCTGTCTCAACCGCAACCTAAGCCTTTCTCACACCCACCATTCCAACAGACCAGATCGTGATCTTAAAGGCTACCCATGGGAATGGTTGTCCGAAGGCACTGGCGGGTTAGGTGTAAGTAGTTCTATCTCGATGACTCTCCCCACTATGTCTGATGACTAGAGCAGTTTGGTATAGAGAATCAAAGGCAATGCACGGGCCGGCGCTTGTCACTCTGTTCCCAGGGTCCAGTAATCACGTTCAATGCTTACTTCATGAGTCACCATGGTGTCGCAATGATGTAAAAGTTTTTAGAGAATTAGGTTAAAGTTTGTTTTGGTTCCAATATACATTACGGTTAAATAGGTTTACATGATTTAATAAATGTTAAAGGCTTTGGTCCGAAAGTGTTAGGCCTGTTTTAAAGGTTAAGTTTAGGCATATATTCTGATTGGATAGGTTTAGAAAGAGACAAAGGTTAAGGCTAATTTAGTTAACTGTAATATTAGGGTTAGGGTTATGGTTAGGGGAAAACGAAAGTCTGCAGGTAGGGGTTTGGATCAGGGTTAGGGAAAGGACTTGGGGGCTGGAATTGGATTTACGGTTTTGGTTTGGGGGCAGGTTGTAGGGTTATTGGGGTCAGGAGTTGGGACTGGGGTAGGGGGCAGTGATTTAGGATTAGGGACTGGAGGTGGGTAGGGGGTTAAGTTAAGGTTAAGGCTGTGGTGTGGGTAAAGGGTTAAGTTTGCGGTTAGGGCTGTGGTTAAGGTTACGGCTATGGTATGGGTCAGGGGTTAAGTTTGCGGTTAGGACTTAGATTTATGGTTATGGCTGTGGTATGGGTTAGGACTTAGAGTTAAGGTTACGGCTGTGGTACTGGTCAGCGGTTAAGTTATGGGTTACGACTTAGATTTATGGTTAGGGCTGTGGTTATGGTTACGGCTATGGTATAGGTAAGTGGTTACGGTTACGGCTATGGTTATGGGTTAGGTTTTTGAATGTGGTTAGGGAAGGGGACTTAGGGTTATGGTTATGGCAGGGGTAGTGGTTTATGGTTAGGGAATAACCACAGAAGGCACTGGCCTACTACATGCCATCTAGTGCCCACCCCTTTGCTTCCCAAACCTTGGCATCGCTGCTAAACATACATGGCTATGATTATGCCCACTGGGCCTTAAATAATCCATAATTTTTATCCCTTTTTCTACGGTTGTGACATGCGTCTCCAGGACTTTACAGGTAAGTATATAGGACATTAATAAGTTAGATAATGCCAACTAGGCCTTCAGATAATGCCATCTAGGCCTTCAAATCCGCACTAAGGCTTAGTATGTCCACTGGACTTTGAAAAATAATTATTAAGAGCCATCTCTCCAGTATTTCATTTGAAAATGCCTGACTAGGCCTTCAATGTCCCCACTATGGTTTATATAGATCGCGAACCATATCAGGCTTCGACGCGTTTTGGGCTGCCTTGCCCTCATCAGGAAACCGGCGGAAATATCAAGGGGGCGCCCATTTGGCTTTCATCCCCTGCAAAATGCCATACTAGGCCTTGAAATCATAAAATTATAAAGGGGGTGCCGACTAGGCCTCAGCCCCCTACCAAATGCCCACTAGGCCTTAGATATACTGGTGCTTTAATTTCACCCACTGGGCCTTAGATGTTGCACCAACGGCTCCGGCCGTTCAAATGAGACTCTGTGCTACAGCTCTATATATATAGTGGGGGAAGCCCCGCCCCCTAACTGGCACTGCCGTTTAATACAATTTTTAATAATTTTCACGGGTATAATCCATCGCAGAAAAGTGAATAATAATGGTCTCTGTTCCATCCCTCCACAGATGTTTCCGGATTCCACAGGTAAGTGTCCAGGTAAGTATAATTTATGGTTTTTGTGTGCGCAGCTTAATGATGTTTCCAAGGGGATGGGGGGAGGCGGGCGGGCACCGTATGATGGCATGGTGGCACGGGCAAGATTAGGTTTTTGAATCGGGTTAGGTAAAGGGACTTACGGTTAGGGAAGGGGACTTAAGGTTACGGTTAGGGCAGTGGTTTTACGGTTAGGGAAAGGGTTTGTGGTTAGGGATGGGGCCCCTAGGCTTCCTCCACGGAAGCTAGGTTAAGTTTATGGGTATGGTTGTGGTTTAGGGTTATGGAACTGACCCCGAGAATGCACTGGCCTACAACACACCATCGGATGCCCACCCCTTTGCTTCCCAACTCCTGTCACCGCTGCTAAAAATTATGTCCACTGGACCTCTGACTAAACATGGCTATGTGCCCTAAAGGCTTTTGAATATGGCCACTGGCCTTTAGGTAACTTAGGCTTCTACGCGTTTCGGGCTGCCTTGCCCTCTTCAGGAAACCGGCGAAAAAATTGATTGAAGGACGCCCACTAGGCTTTGTCCATGCGGGAGGAGGCACGGAGAGGCAACTACGCCAACAGGTAAGTATGCTTTCACTGTCCGGTAAGTACAATTCACTTTTTCTAAACATTTTTCCAAGAGGGGACTTCTGCCCGTAGATTCACTATATATTATATACTCCCAGGAGTGGTCACTGACCGTGTCATTGGAACAGGAGTCGTATGCTTCCACTGTCCGGTAAGTACAAGAAACACTTTTCCAAGAGGGGACTTCTGCCCGTAACTATATCTTATATATTATATGCCCAGGAGGGGTCACTGACCGTGTCATCGGAACAGGGGCGTTTACCGTGGCCATGAAGCACAAACCGGCTCTCCCGGGGATCAACTCCGAGAAGTGTCTGCTATACATCTGCAACAAGCTGGAGCAACTGCTCTTTATATAGTGGGGTAGCTCCGCCCCTTTTGTCAGCTCTGCTGTTTCAACTGCCATTCTTTGGCCTATATCTGTTATACTAATATTTTTTCATTGTTGCAGGATTTTTTAATAAGTTTTTGTTCCTTTTTCCTTTCACAGGTTTTAAAGGAGGATCCCAAACAGGTAAGTGTTTATTTTTGAATTTCACTAATTGTTTTTGATTTTGCAGCTTTATGATGCTTTCAGGGAGATGGGGGCATGGGTGGGCCCCTTGTGACAGCGTGGGTGGCACGGGCTGGTTAGGGTTAGAGGTGAGGTCAGTGGTTTTATGGTTAGGGAAAGGGTTTGGGGTTAGGGATGAGGTTAGGGTTACGGTTAGGGATATAGATGGGGTTAGAAACCCCGGGGCCTGTGACCCCAGCGTCCCAGGGCCACAGGCAATGCACTGGCCAATCCGGGTCCATCCATGGTTCCACCCGCTTACATGCACATCCCCCACTGGGGCTTAAATTAATTTAATATAAGTCTTTTTGTTTTGCAGGGGTGACGGAGCAGAAGATCCAGGAGAGCCGAAGACACCAGGTAAGTGATCCGGAGGAGCAGAAGGAGGAGCGACGACACAGACAGGCAAGTACTAATCCCTTTAGAAATCCTCACTGAGGTTTATTAACTAAACATTATATATTCCTCTCCTATACTATAGCTCGAATGTGGCTGACCAGACCTACGCCGGCTGAGGAGGTAAGTATCCTATTTACCTGTCTCAGGTTATGTCCTTACTAAGGTTTTCATGTGCCTCACTAGGCTTGTCGTCCCCACTAGGGTTATAGCGCCGCCCTGTGTCCGGTGCCGGCGCAGCTCCCGGTGTCCCCCGGAGACACATCCCAGTGCCGGTGACCCCCCAAGGTCAATCCACTGCCATCCTGTCCAATTGAATGACAAATAAAAAATATCTCACCAGCACTGTGTCCTGTGACCTTCCTCCACGGAAGCCAGATGGATATTAAGGAGCACAGTGTGGGATTTCCTTATATATAGAGGGGGCGGGGCCAAAGTAAAATAATGTTGGAGACCCGGCTAAATAGCCTTATGGTCCGGAGATTAGGGTTAGGGATCCGGCTAAATAGCCTTAGGAAGAGGGGATTTAGGGTTATGGACCCGGCCACTAGCCATAAGGTCCAAGGGTTAGGGTTAGGGTTAGGGGTTAGGGTTAGGGAACCGAAAGTGGGATAAGAAAAACTTTTGTGTATACTGTGGTGAAGGGCAAAGCAAATTGGCAAGACATCTTGAAAGAAAACATGCAAAGGAAACTGAAGTAGCACAAGCATTATCAAAACCTAAGGGGACAAAGGCACAGCGGATATTATTTGACCACCTACGAAATAAAGGAAATTATCACCACAATATCAAAATTATAAGTAAAGGTAGTGGGGAAATTGTGACTGTGAGGCAGCCAACAAAAAACACTAACTGGCAAGACTACTTGCCATGTCAACATTGCCATTGGTTTTTTAAAAGAAAGAAATTGTGTAAACACAACGTAGTCTGTTTCAAAAATGCTGAAAAGGACAGCAAATCAAGGAAAAGGAAGAGAGTCCAAGCTATAGCATCTCGAAGCATACCAGGTACACCTGCTGTGTCCAAAGGTTGCAAAAACATAATTCTGAACATACATCAAGATGACGTCTCTACTCAGGTGAGGTCAGACCACATCTGTAAATATGGTGAAGTGATGTTTGAGCTCCATGGACAGGACAAATCACAGCACAACTACATCAGTCAGAAAATGCGGGAGTTGGGGAGGTTTATGCTGGCAGTAAAACAGCTTAACCCTGCGGTACAACGTCTAATGGATGTTTGCGTACCAACAAAATTTCAGCTAGCAATATTGGCAGCAAAGAAAGCAAGTGGGTTTGATCCATCAAAAAGTAGATATGACACTACATCTCTAGCTTGTAAAATTGGGTACACCCTTGTAGGGGAACCATCCAATGGCGGAATCCAATAGGACAGCCGAAGGCTTGAAATGCGTGTGGATCCTTCCGAGCTCTTCTGGAAAGTTACTTACCCGTTGTAGGTAAAGACCAAATTACATCTGACTCCATTTTAAGTAAAGATCTTTATTG